ATTTTGTGCTGGTTGTAACACTAGAATATTTGATCGGTTTATACTTAGAGTTCAAGATAAGTCCTGGCATGCTAAATGCCTTCGGTGCTCAGACTGCCAGTGTCAACTCTCTGATAAATGCTACTCTAGAAGTGGACAAGTCTATTGTAAAGATGATTTTTCAAAGTATGAAAAGAGAGGGGGGAGAGAGAGGGAGAGAGAGAGAGGAGAGGGAGAGAGGGAGAGAGAGAGAGAGAGAGGGAGAGAGAGAGAGAGAGAGGGAGAGAGAGAGAGAGAGAGAGAGAGAGAGAGAGAGAGAGAGAGAGAGAGAGAGAGAGAGAGAGGGAGGGAGAGAGAGGGGGGAGGGAAGAGGAGAGTATGAACTAATCCTTTGCTATAGTATAAAAATACATTGAAAGTGTCCACTAATAAAAATATTTGAGATACTTGTAAGTATTTTATTTACCCAACTATATAGTAATTGCAGGGAAAACACATTAGTTTCTGATATTATACATACTTGTACAATCCCTGGTGCCTGCACATCTCCACAATGTACACGTATTAAACCCTAATATGAGGGTAACTATCTCATATTTCTAAGGTTATAGTTCCCCACTATGTTTGTATACATGCAGCACTTTTAATATTATTATTATTATTATTATCAGATTAAATATAATTTTATTTTGGTGGCTATCATGTGCTCAGTGCACGAATGGTCATGCTTTGTAATGGACAGACACACACTGACTGCCCCCAGGGCACCTGTTTTAAAGTACTGCCAAGTTTTCATTGTAGGTTTGTGTTGGCATAGTGATACTACTATCTCTCTCTGTTATGCTTGATTATAATTAACCTTGGAAGATTGTTTTAAATTTATATATATTATTTATAAAAGAAGGAACCACCAAAAGGAACTCTTGTTAATAAAACGGGGCATCGGTCTCCGGGTGGCATTTTATTTAAAATGTAATCTAATTGTTATACATTTGGATATATGCATGTATACAGCCTTTGTCTAACAATAATGGGTTTTTGTATATCCGCTTCCTATATAGTAGTACTATACTGTTATACTATAGACAGTGTTTTCTTATTGAATTATACTGTACTTCCAATTTATGCAGTGATCTCAGACTCTGTTATACAATTTTTTGTAATGTGGAATTGACCTTTGAGCCTTTGTCAATGTCTTATGCCAACTGGCACTGGCTACCTCATGGTAACTGTGGTAACTGTGTTTGTGCCACTGTGAACCAGGTTTTGGTTACTGGGCAACATAAAATGACAATCTAAGCAGCTGTAGGAAAGAGCGCTGACTATTGAATGATTTAGAGGGAGGGAGAGAGACAGAGGAGGGTGTTTTGTTGAATGTACATTGTCAAAAGAGAGGGAGTGACTGACCTTATTTACATAACACCTGGTAATCAATTGCCCCTGTACCCTCCTCCCCTCTTCTCTCTCTCTCTCTCTCTCTCTCTCTTCCTCTCTTCCTCTCTTCCTCTCTCTCGCTCTCTCTTTTTCTAGGAGATTTGGTACAAGATGTGCTGGTTGTCAGCAGCCTATACCACCAACACAAGTAGTGAGGAGGGCACAGGAGAATGTCTATCATCTCCAATGTTTCGCGTGCTTTATTTGTCAGCGACAGCTCTCCACAGGAGATGAGTTCTATCTAATGGACGACAGGAAGCTAGTCTGTAAGGCTGACTATGAGGCAGCTAAAGCTAGAGGTAGGGAAGGAGAGAGAGAGAGAGAGAGAGAGAGTACTATGCTGTTTTTTGTTTTTTGTCTAATTTTCCAGACACGCTAATTATTAGGTTTGTCTGGCTGATATTACACATTTATGGTTTCTGCATGTACATGTACATGTATATACATGTACATGTACTTGCATACAAGTCAGACTCATGTACATTATATATATAGTATAGGATTATGTCTGTCAGTTTAATTATCCAATTATCATGATTTGTGGCTGAACCCTGATATTAGTTACCTGTATTTGCCTTAGGGCTAACACTTGGTTGGCTTTTCCTCCTTTTTGGATTAACTTCTCCATTCCCTTTTCTCTGCTATTTTTCATTTTTCTCTCTCTCTCTTTCTCTGTAGCAGATGGCAGTCAAAAGCGTCCAAGGACCACCATTAGTCAAAAACAGCTGGACCTTCTCAAAACTGCCTACTGCGTCAGCCCAAAACCTTCCCGTCATGTCCGCCAAGAACTCTCGGATAAAACCGGACTGGACATGCGCGTGGTTCAAGTTTGGTTCCAGAACAAGCGAGCAAAAGACAAAAGGACAAAGAAGGACGATGGGTCGGACGAGGGAGCAGGAGAGGGTGAGGGAAGGGGAGGGGATGGGGACTTTAGTGTGTCCACACCCACTAGTGCCACTGATGATATACAGGGACAATTTATACTAGATCCAGGTGAGCGAGAATTCAGTATTATTATTATTATTATTATTTTTATTTTTATAAAAACTAAAACAAGGAAGATAGAGAATAAAATTGATATTATTAAATTATTATTGTTGTCGTTGTTCTTATTTATTGTTGTTGTTGTTATCATTAGATATAGCTCAGCAGGGCATTGATGCTCCTCCCCCTAATCCCATCGGCACCACTAGTGCGTAGCTCTCTGAACTTGATTTTAGTTCATACTGTAAGTGAGTACCAATGTAGTCATTATAAAGCATGTTTTATGCCCAAGAATGATCTACAATGTAGGTCTAATGTTACGCTAGTCCTGACGTTACGTTGACGCTGGAATCGAATCTGGTTCGATTCCAGCGGAAGGCATGCGTCAAAAGGTCAAATCGCCCACGCTTTTGATTAAAAATTGACGGTACGTTGGCCTAGTGTCATGTTGTGAACCAGGCTTAAAGCTTCTTGTTGATCCAATTTTGTATCAACTTCAAAGCTAATCAAGGATATACTGTAATTGTTAGTCTTTTATTATCCCTGACAAAGCTTAAATTGATCGTCCTCTTCCTTCGGCTTTTCATATAAAACAATCAAGTTTTATATTAATTGTCCTATGATAAATACACTACATTTGTTTGATTATGCTGCAAATCTTTTTTTTTATTGTTCTATTATTATATTCATGAATATCTCTCTCTCTCTCTCTCTCTTTATAGAGCGAATTCTGTGGTAATTAACTAATTGAATTTATTATTTACAATTATTATAATTCCTAATAACTTTATTGTTATTTTCACTCAATATTCTCGCTCCTCTCTCTCTTTTCAATTTTTTTTTTTTTTGGGAGAATACCAAAATATACAAAACTGACCACCTGGAATTAGTTTTCAAATGCTCCTTTTTGCAAAAACCAATTATTACTATTATTATTTATTATTGCTATTAATAGAAGCAAGGCCACTTTATTATTATCTCTACTTTTTGTTCCTTTGAATTTCTCTCGTGATTTTGTACTTTTTCCTAAAAATACAATAATAATAATTTTTGCTTCATTTAAAATAAATGATAAATTGATAATAATTGATTAATCAAGTAGGGGTGTGGCTTTTTATAGATTTTAAGGGGGCGTGGTTTGTTGCATAATTTTTATCATGGCCAGCAAATTGGTGTCTCTAAGCAAGTTTACCTCGTTTTCTCGACAAGCCTTTCATGGGATTAGGTATTGTAGTGGCATAAACTTTGGTAAGCTAACCCCTTCCCTGTTTTGGTGGAAGGAGAAACAAATTGTCGTTCAAAATATTATTTTTAAATGTATTTTTAGAGTTGACTCCACAGCAGAAAGAGTTCCAAGATACTTCGCGTCGTTTTGCACGAGATGAGATCATACCAGTAGCAGCACATTATGACAAAACGGGAGAGGTGAGACAGAGAGAATACTGTACGTCAAGTAATAAAATGAATTCTCTTATTTCTTAATTTCTTAGTACCCATGGCCTGTGTTAAAGAAAGCCTGGGAACTTGGTCTTATTAACCAAGCCGTGCCAGAGGAATATGGTTAGTCGTGCGACTTTTGTGTGAATATTATATACCCTAGAGTGACTTTTAACTGCGGGTACTAAATTTTGCAATTTTAGCACAAGGTAGATTTTGCTGGTATTAAAAATTGCGATTAAGTAATTATTACTAATAGTTATATGGCATCATGATGTCATTATTAATAATTGCGCGTATTAATAATTACGATTTTTAACCCAAACGCAAAATTCGCAATTAATAGTACCCGTATTTAAAAGTAACCTTAAGGTATGCCTTTTCTATTCTTTTAGGCGGTCTTGGTCTTCCGCTGGTTGACATGTGTATCAATGCAATCGAGCTAGCTTTTGGTTGCACTGGAATAAGTACAGCTATTGGTGCTAATGATCTTGCTGTATGCCAAGAATTTTTCTAATTCCTTTTTTGACTATTTTGTTTTTAATTCAGGAAGCACCTGTCATTCTTGGCGGGTCTCACGAGATAAAGAAAAAGTTTCTCGGTAGGATGACAGAAGAGCCTCTAATTGCTGTCAGTATATATATATTTTTATTTTATTTTATTTTTCTTTTTATAGGCTTATTGTGTTACAGAGCCTGATTGCGGCTCTGATGTATCTGGGATTAAAACAACAGCTGTTAAGAAAGGAAACGAGGTAATCAATATTATTTATGTGTTTATTTATTTATTCGTTTGTTTTTTTATCAGTGGGTTATCAACGGTAACAAGATGTGGATCACTAATGGTGGCTATGCTAATTGGTAAGCGATATTTTTTGTTTTTATTATGACCACATCCACTTAAGGTACTTCCTGTTAGCCCGGTCGGACCCTAACGCTAAGACTGGAGACGCTTTCACTGCCTTTGTAGTCGAGAGAGACACTCCTGGGATAACACCGGGGAAGAAGGTATAAACAAAGAATATAAAATACTTTTAAAACATTTTTTATTCATATGCATGTACTTATGTTGCATAGAAAGTTTGAGCTGATACAGGGACTTTGGTCAAATTTTGCCAAAAATGAAAAGTAGAGAATTCTCCATTTTTATTACATTTCCTGATGCATATACATGTACTTATGTTGTGTAGAAAGTTTGAGCTGATTCCGATTAAAATTGGATTTTTTACAAATTTTTAAAGTTGCTCAAAAATTGGACAAAAGTCCCTTCTATTTTGTCAAAAATGACTGAGAGAGAATCCTCAATTTTTACTGATACATGCACATGTTCTTACGTTGCTTACAACAACTACATGTATGTTTTAAGCTATATACTTGTACAAATTAGTTTTTATACCTTCTCATTCTTTTTACTTCAGGAATGGAACATGGGACAGAGAGCGTCTAATACAGCCGGAGTGACATTTGAAGACGTTGTCATCCCAAATGAAGTCCGTTCCAACCTTTATCCTCTTCCATTTCTCTTCTAGAATGTTCTAGGTGCTCCTGGCAAAGGATTCAAGATAGCCATGGGGGCTTTTGATCTCACCAGACCAGCTGTAAAACTCTCCGTTATATTTCAACTTTTATTTTATCATTTGAAAGGTTGCAGCTGGAGCAGTCGGCTTAGCTCAGAGAGCACTAGAAGAAGCAACTAAATACGCTCTGACAAGAAAGACATTTGGAAAATATCTTATAGATGTAAATATTTGACTCATGCCCCATTGTCTTAGCTCCTTCTTCATAGCATCAAGCAGTGGCCTTCATATTAGCCAATATGGCCATTGGTATTGAATCAAGTCGACTCTGCACTTATCGCAGTGCCTGGGAGGCTGATCAAGGCAGACAAAACACTTATTATGCGTCCATTGCTAAAGCTCTTGCGGCCGACGTTGCAATGAAATGTACCACGGATGCCGTCCAGGTCTTTAAGATACCGGGTCTGGTATTATTGCTTATTTTTGGGCCCCCTGTAGGTATTTGGTGGCGCAGGTTACAACAGTGAGTATCCGGTCGAGAAGTTAATGAGAGATGCAAAAATATTCCAGGTTACCTTGTAAAATTTTTGCACATTACCTTACTCAAATTTTTTATAGATTTACGAAGGGACAGCTCAAGTTCAACGTGTTGTAATTTCTCGTATTATTGAGCAGTATGCGAAGAGTACCATGTGATGATCACATGCCCCATACATTATTGACTACCATTATTATTATTTTGTTATGTTATGTGTTTGTCTAGATATATATTATGTAATGTCTGATACAGATATATGATAATGTATACTTGGAAGTTTTTCATCTTAATCTTGAGAGTAGCACTCGGAGTAGCATGATTCATGATGGTATCGTAGTCAGAAGTCAAGATTGTCCCAAAGTTCACTGGTTTTATGGAATGGGTAAAAGGTGGAATGTTTGAATTTATTCATTATTACTCTTAGTACAATTTTTGTTGAACTATAAGATGTGAATAAAAGAAAGGAAAATGTTATGAATACATTTTCAAAGTGCTTAATAGTTGTGGTCACACCTATGTGTTGCCATGGCGATTGAACAACAATTCTGAGGCGCCTGTTGGCAAAGTGAGCATTCTTTTTCATACCAGAGCCTCCTCGTACCAAGGAGAGATAAAATGAACAGGTCTCTCTCCCCGGTACATCTACATGTTAGTAGAAAGGCTCCAGTCCACGTACATGTCAGTACAAGCCCTGTATTAGATAAAAAGGTATTTATTGTGCCTTTAATGGTTGCTTTACGTCTTTGTTTCCAGGCCTCTTCTAGGAGGATGAGAGCCAGTGATTGGGTGAAGGCCAGCACTAGCAAGGGGCCATGGATCCCACCGCCTGGAAGAACAACCCGTCAAATATCAACCAGTGGTGGAGCAACAAGAATGTCCTGGGAGGTATATATAATATAATGAATAATACTAAGCTTATAAGTGAAGCTTCTTTGTGCACTTAAAAATCACCATAAGTGTTTGTTTATTCTCACTTTGCACCACAGGGTCCAACTCATCGACTTGATATAGAGCCCGGCTATAATGCAGATGGTACTTGCCTTCACGTCAGCGACTTGAACTCAGGAGCAAATGGCTCCACTGATATAATACTGGTATGCAAGATCGCACTAGTATAAATACAGTGATATAGCAATCGCTGGTGCAAATCAATGACACATGATTATATATTGGAATGAAAAACTATTTATTTTCTTTTTGCTGTTTCTAGGAGCCAGCTGAAAGCAATGGTACTCACACTAAGCTAGACAGCCTGAGAGCTGAAGTGAGCTCACTCAAGAATGAAATGGAGCGACAGAAAAACTTAAGAGAGCTTGACGAGAGAGAACTTGAAATTCGAGCTCAGTCTCGACTCAATTCTCGAGGAGGAGGAGGAGGAGGGAAGAGGATGAGAAGTACGAGCCCAGTCTCCAAGCTACTAGCCGAAAGTTACGATGCTGAGCAAGTTAACACAAATCGCGAATCACTGATGCAAACGCTAACAGAGACTGAGCTAGACTTGAACTCGGTTAATCGTCAGATTGATCTCTTAAAGGAGACCCTGAGACTACTGATACGAGTGAGCCCTTGATTGATACAAATATCATAATTTGATACCCCTAATCACAAAGTCCTAGCGCTAACTAGTGATCATTACCATCAGTCCATATTTGCACTATGCGGCAATTAGCAATAATGTGCTACATTTAATACCTCACCTTCAAATTTTGTATTTCTATGCTAAAGATAATATTTTTGATGCAAGATAAAGCATTTATACATAATTATACTTATACTTATTATACTTAATTTCTATATATTTATACTTTTAAGTTATTTTTTATTGTATTTATTTTGTTGTGATAGGATAAATCTCTTTCTCCAAGTCGTGCTCGGGAGGCAACAGATCAGACCTGTGTCCTTCAGGAGAGACTAAGCGAGCTACTCCTCTCTTTAAAAACAGCCAAACACCTCATAAGATCCCAGCAAACCAAAGAGTCAAAAATCAAGCACTACACCGAAGAGATCGAGAGCCTATTAAAGAAACTAACAGAATCAGAAGCAAGTGTCCAATCTTTTAGAAGAGAGCTACAGGATAAGGAGAGTCTAACAATCCACTCACAGCAATTGCATGAACACCTTAATGAGAAGGAAAAGGAACTGACAGAGCTAACAATGAAAATAAAGGTATTGCCAGCCAAGCAAACAAGAGTAATCGGCTCTTTTTGATTTCTCCATACATAGTCGCTGGAAGAAACCCTCTCGCAGAATGAGTTTGAGTATGCAAAGTTGAAGTCTGAGTTCCAGACTATGAAGAGGAAGGCTGACCTTGACAAGGACACACTCAAGCGCTCAAACAAGTAAAGCAACTAATTGAGATACCTCACTCTCTCTCTCTCTCTCTCTCCTTAGGCAACAGAAAGATAAAGTGTTAAAGACAGAGAAATCAATTGAAGCTTTGAACACACAAGTTGACTGTCTAGTAAGAAACAGCACCTATTAACCTGTAGTACATGTACATGTACACCTCTCTGCTTCCTTATAACAGATTAGTGAACTTGATTTGGAGAGAAGCAAGAGCTCAAGAACAAGCAGAGAAAAGGCACAGATGGAGTCAGACTTGGGATGCTTGAAAAAGTGAATTTAATAAATGCAAATAAAATTAATTTGACTTCACTTGATATTATCATTTTTATAGTCAAATAAAAGATGTCGAGAAGTCCTTTAGTGCTGTCTCAGCAAAACTGTCGCAAAGGAACAGAGAATATGGAGCACTCCAAATAGAAAATGATCAAAACAAGGCAAGGAGTCATAAACAAAAGCCACCAATACAATTATAATTTCCTCATACAATTATAGGCTACTGTAGTATCACTTGAAAGCAGGCTACAGACACAAGAAAATCAGGTTGAATCAATAATAATTTATTAATAATAATAATTTACAATGCTCTCCATACACATGCAGTTATTGTCAGCTCAAAACACACTATCAGATGCACAGGGAACCATAGCACAATATGAGACACTGCTCAGGGACTATAAAACACAGGTAGGCCCAATATATGCAAGTAGACATGCAGTGAACTGCACAATGGAATCACTGATTTCATAACTAATTGTTGCATTAGCTTGACAAGCATGAGCAGGAGCTGCATCAAAAGGAGCAAGAGATTGAAAGACTTCAACATGAGAGCTATATTGACATGGAAAAGGTAAAAATGATGGGATTTTCTGACATTATAAATCATCATTCATGCACAGTCCAAAATAGCATATCAGAAGCAGCTTTCAGAGATGGAGCCTATAGCTGATGAGTTGAAGGTACATGAAGTTTCTGTTGCATTAGATCAATTGTATTGTATTTAAACAGGCAGCAACAATTAAACTTCAAGACTCCAAGGAAAGGTTGGCACAATATGAGCAAGCAACTGCAGACCAGACCAGAATGATTGCAGATTTAAGGATAAAGGTTAGCACATTTAACTATTGTGTACACCATGTACATGGTATAAATGGATGGTGTGTTCATTTACAGAGTTCTTCTGTGGACAATTTAAAGGAGAAACTACAAGATAAGAAATCTGAAGTCAAAACTGCAGCAGTAAAGATTGAACTACTTGAAAAGTAAGAGATGTATCAAATTTAGTTTTAATTCCCCCCCCCCTCTCTCTCTCTCATAAAGGAAGCTAGCTGATAGTGACAAGCAGAATAAAGACCTTCTACTCATCACTAGTAAAAAAGAAGAGCTAATCCAGCAGCTCCAATTCAAAGAGGAACAGTATATTGAGGAGATTGCCTCCCTCAATAGGCAGCTTGATAGCTCCAGATCTGATGCCAGAAGACAAATTGAAGACATGAAGAATAGGAATGAGTCTAAAGAGAGGAGCCAATTAGCACGAATTGCTGATCTTGAAGCACAAGTAGGACGAGTTAATGCGCAACTCAGTCAAATGCAGAAAACTAAAGATGAGGTAAACTCATAATTAAGGACTTAGCAAAAATGTATATGCTTTCATTTATTCTCTTCCTTATAAGGTTGAACGAAAATCCCAGTCAAAAGTCCGGGAGTTGCAGGAGAGACTCGATCAGTCTCAGGCAACGAGGAAGAGTCTTGAAAGTTACGTTAACTTTCTCAAGTCCTCATACTCATCGATTTTCAACGATACATCAAGCCCAGTCTGGAAATCCCCACTCACCCATTGAGGAATGAGGATGGATGCCAAACTCCACACAAAAATATAATTTAACGATAGAAGAGTGCAAATATAATTTTAACACAACGCCCCCTAAAAAACTCAAAATCTTTTAGCTTACATTTTAAATTATATTATTAGAAGATCACTGTGATATAGTACAATTATTAATTATAGAGTATATTTTTTTCAATTTAAGATTGTTCTTTTAGTCGTGCTTCCTCACTTTCAGCTACAGCTGTTTCTTGTAACAATCCTTCTCTACGACGTCTCGTCTCTAAATAAGTTCTGGGATGAATAGGAAGCAGTCCTGCCTAAAATAATTTTAAATTAAATTTTATTAGAAAAAATAAAATAAAATTAAGGCTGTGAGCTCACTAATCCTAGAATCTTAGACACTAAATTAGTAGGCGTGGCTCCAACTCCCAACCAATACCTAAACAAAATAATAAATAATAATAATAATAATAATAATAATAGCTACAATGCCCCACCCATCAATGACTAACTTGATTCTTTTAACATTGAGTGAGGCTAATTTCTCATTGTTGTAGTTTGGCATAGGATCAAACGAGCCGAGCTAAAATTTTAGAAGTGATAATCACACAATTTTGAACTTAAAATCAATTAATTAATTAGGGGGCGGGGCTAACAGACCTGCTCAAGATGTCTGCCATTTCTTTTGAATCTACTCTCGGTCACAATAATGTGAAAAAATGGTCTATTCGTGCAGCCATGAAGGGCAAGCCTTATTTTTAGACCAGTGCAAGAGGGCATACTTCCAGACACCTATTAAAATAATTTTAAGGATAATTTAAAACACAATAAAATTCGTCCTTACCTGATCACGTGATCAAGTGGGCGTAGTTGAAGCAGACATGCTTAAGCACGTGGCCGGTCCAGACACACAAAAAGAGTTGAAAGAGTTTAGAGATGTCTTGGCGACTTGCTACGGCCCTCACGGAAGGTAAAAAGCTTAAAAGAAGCTTTGGTAATAATACTATCTTTACAGAGTGGCTCTACTCCAGCCAGTGGCCAGTGGTCACGTGACCATTACTAGCCAATCAGGGAAGGTATTTCAACTATTGGATAGTCTCAATCCAGTATTAAGGATACTCACTGGGTCTCTCTCAACTTATTCTCAGCGTCACAAAGATGCAGCAAAACTGGCCTCGCTGCTTACAACAAAGTAAATACTTAATTAGAATAATGGGGGCGGGGCCAGATCAATGAATAATAATTAGCTAATTATGTAGCACTTTTTTTAATTTTGTATTTTTAGTATTATATTGAATTGTTTTGCTCTTGATTGTCCAAGAAGACAGATCTCAGATATCATAGATCACATATTAACTGAATGTATCGAAAGGGTTCGTACTCCACCATATGTCATTACCTGTGATTGGTCTTCAGTTTCTCATTTGATGAGTGTTACTAGGACACTTTTATCTTCTCATTCTCTCTCGTCTTGTTTTAATAACGAAGAATTGAATCACTTCTCATCTGTGTTGTTACAGGTAAGTATAGAAGTTGATGGTAATGATGTTATTTTAATTAATATTGTGTTCTTAATTTTGTTATTCATGTGTAATGGAAATAGGCGGAAAATTATTTTTTTAAATGCTCATAACTTGAAAAATTTAAGTCAGAATCAACTAAAACTTTCTACACAGCATAAGGATATCAATATGTATCAGAAAATGTAATAAAAATTGGGGGTCATTTTTTAGCCATTTTTCGGAAAAAAGCATGGACTATAGCCTTGGGTATTTTTCAGATTTTGGCCTATTTCTTAAAATGGCTGTAACTTGAAAAATTTAAGTCGGAATCAGCTCAAACTTTCTACATAGCATAAGGACATCAATATTTATCAGAAAATGTAATAAAAATTGGGGGTCATTTTTTGGTCATTTTTTGGAAAAAAGCATGGGCTATATTAGCCTTGGGTATTTTTTAGATTTTGGCCTATTTCTTAAAATGACCGTAACTTGAAAAATTTAAGTCAGAATGAGCTCAAACTTTCTGCAGAGCATAAGTACATCAATATGTATCAGAAAATGTAATAAAAATTGGGGGTGATTTTTTAGCAATTTTTTTGAAAAAAGCATGGGCTTTAGTACAGGGAATTTTTTAGATTTAGAATTTCTGCAGTTATTTTAAAGAGAAAGACATTATATTTATTCTTTTCATTTCATGACAGGCTTTTCTTCATGTTGCAGTCCCTAGCAACTCAAAGGACGACCATGGATCATTATCTATACAAAATAAAATACATGTCTACCTCATCAATGAGATTCAATGCCCATGTACCAAGCTCTACCATGGACTATTAATAGAAGAAATGCTCTCTATTGGTTTTGATAGAGAAATGACATTATCTTTGGCCCATCATGACTTTAGACGTGATAAAAATGGACATATCTCAGTGGCTGTGTTTAAAATATCATTAGCAGGAGATGAAGATGATGGCTTTAAGAATAAAACCTCGTTCGAGGCATCAATTTCTTCTCAGGTTTCTGCCAGTAGAATGATAGCTGATGCTAAGAAGGAGGAGCTTTTAGAATTGGGAGCCACCTTATTTAATAGTGGAGTTGGACTAGTCCTGTGTCAGAAATGTGTCCATCATTCATTGAGGGAATATTTAGAAGGGAAAGTATGAGAGACAAAACCCGTCTTTATTTTTATTTAATTTTCAGGGTGTCCCCATTATAGAGAGACTAGGTCTTCCTTATATCGATCCAGTTATTGATCTAACTGGAGCTGTCGTCATTAATTCTTTATCTGCTACAATTTCTCCTCAACTTTTTGGACATTTGAAGTCTGTAACTGTACAAGTCATTGGAGACAAACAGTAAATTAGAAAAAAGTGACCATTTTATATTTTTATTTACAGGTTTATATTATTAGAAGGCCCATCTCCTCATGCCACCATCATTCTGCCATTTTTATTAGAAATAGTTGGTGAGGAACTAAAATCTGTCGTCAAATCTACAAGTAAATTCAGATGCCTTCCTGTTTTTGTAAAACTTTAACCTTTTAATAGTAAATATACTTGAAGATTTATTATATAATCCACAACTCGTTAGTGGTGGTGGGTGTGTACTAACTCAACTTGCAAGCTTCATAACTAAACAGGTAACTAGTCAATAAGATTGTCTATTTGTACCATACATTGTTACTATAGGCTGAATGCGTTGATGATGAATTATGTGGCAGACTAATGAGTTCAATTAGTAAGTATTAAAATTAGATTATTAAATCATTAACTTACCCATTGTTCTTATTATTGATCTATTATGTTGCAGATACTTATCTTGCAGTGTCTAATGCTCTCTCCACCAGTCTAAAGCAATGTGCTGCAGCTCTTTATCACAACAAGAGAGACTCTGTAACTCTCACAGACTCCTTGTTCAATCACTGCTGGTCTTTTCCCCACTCTCATTCCTCTTACACTCATTTTGATGCAAGCAGGACCTGCTCCTGTGGCAGAGTGTCTTTTGCTTCTATAGAAGGAGAACAGTCTGCAGTTGTTCCTCTTTGGTCTACTGTTAATAGCTGGAAAGGTCTCCCAACACTTATTCCTGAGACATTAGAGCAAAGTCTATTGACAGATAGCACTCTTTGTTACTCCAAAATCTCACCTTCTCTCTTTCTCTCAGACTCACTCTCTGGCACAGCTTCTGCTATCACTTTTGCTAAAGACCTTTCAACTCTTATCATAAGAACTCATTCAACTTTATTTTAAATGATTAATTTTTCATTTAAATGAAATGAATATACATAGTACAAAACTAGTCACTCATCAGCAAAGATTATGTTGCATCACTTGTGGGTGTCCATTATATCCGTGAGCCATTGCCTGCATAAAAGTGAAGTCCTCAATAAGCTCAGGAGTAGGCAGATACTCAGCATAAGGGCAATGCCTTGACTGATGAATGGCAACACCTTTCCTCTTCATAAACCTTTGAAGCCATCCTTGACTAGCTTTGAAATTTGGGACCGTTGAGAGCTTTTTTGCTTTATCCTTTATCATTTCTCTCGACACGCGAAAGTTTTGGTTGCTCATGTAAACGATCCATTGGAAGAGAGCCTCTTCCATGTTTTCATCCATCATCTTTCTACCCCCTCCATTTAATCTCTTCCTCTCTGATAATCCTTTTGCTCTCTCTTCTCTCAGCAATGCAAGTAGCCTCTCTTTTTGACTGCACCATTCTCGTATCCTTTTCGAATCAACTTTGAATTGTCTTGCAGCTGTATACATGTATATGTTCAAGAGTAAAAGAAAAGAGAATATAATGTGTTGATTTTTTAACTAATTTGTTTTTATTATACCTCCTTCTCTTGATACCCTCTCAGCTACTTCAACAGCTTGCAATTTAAAGGATATTGAATATGATGAACGCTTCCTTACTACAGACATTCTAAAAGTAGAAAACCTTATTAAAAGACTGGTCTATATAGACATAAGGTGTGGGCTTACTTTTATTCAGGTTTTAATTTGTCCTGTTCCCTCTAATGAAGCGTCTAGAAAAGCTTTTATTTGAAGGTTGTGGATAAACAATAGAAGCTTTTAGACTATCTTCTTTCTTCTCCAGCTAGTATTCAGAGCGCTATACACTGTGCTAGGAATTAATATTTGCCCAATATAAAGTCAAGAAGCTGTACAAGTAGGCGATGTTTTTGTGGCGTGAATGATGTTACAACTTTTGTCACTATTGACCTGTGATGTTGTTGGCTGTGAAAAAGTGCCAATTACTAGAAAAGTGTATATTATAGCTGTTGAATGGTTTCATCAAATTGTATAGTGATAAAAATCAGTGACAAAATAATTTTATAAAAAATGTCAAGTTGGTTTGATCATATCTTCAGGAGACAAAGGAGGAGAGAACTGATTGGTTCTCATTGATTTCTCTCCATCATCTATTACTACATCCTCTATATCATTCCTTTGATGTGGTGGACTAAATCACTCATAGTAATGTTATTATTATATCAATAGCCAATGCTCACGGTAATGGCAATGAATCTGAAGTGCTCATAAGTTCAATTTTCCTCACACTACCAAAGAAATCTGTTACTAGAACCTACAAATAAAAGAAAAAACAACTTACCACTATCATAATGACATTAATATAGATCTAGGGTCATTCTCATTTGACAATTGAAGATTGCATTCTCACTTCGCTAAAGTTCCTACGAAATAGATCAGTTCTAATGTAAGGAGTAGACTCAACTTTTTGACGAGCCAAATAATCAAACTAAAAAAAGATAATACCGGCATCACCTTTTCCCTCTTTTTCATCCTTACCATACTGTTAAGGGTTGCCTTGCTCCCTGGCTTAAGCTTTTCTAGAAAAGCAAGAGCAAAATAAGTCCACCTGTCAATGATATGGACACCAATAGTGTCATCCAAATGATGCTGAAAAGGAGAAAGAGGAGAGAGAAAGGATATCAGTTTCATTTCTCTTTCTCTCTCTCTCTCTCTTACTGAGAAGGATTCTTCAGTTACAAGGCTGCTGCCTACTCCAATGATGTTAGGAGAATAGAATAGACTTGACATTGACTCTGCATGGCAAGTGTCAATGATAAACAACAACTCATTGTACCTGAAAATAAAATAAAAATAAATAAATCACATGTACTGTACCTTCTCTTTTGCCACATTTGCTGGAATATGTCTGCCAGCTCGGCATTTGAGATCTCCTCGTGGTCTTGAAACTTTAAAAAACCATCTCCTCCGTGACCTAGTCGATATTTAATCCCTGTACAACAATGGGGCCATACCCACCTGTCATATACACTAGCACATTGCTTCTTTCATTAGTCAGTAAACGTTTCGATTGCGAAACTGCTTTATCTAACCTGCCAGTCAGTACCCGTACAAAATTTTCTACCGTCACCTAATAAAAATTTTATGATTAATTTGCGTGGGTGGATGCTCCACCCACTTCATATCCCCTGTAATCCACTTCAATATCGTCGCCATAGACATTAATCTGCTGATTGACGTCATTGAATATGGTGGCTGAAAGGAAAGGAGAAAAAAGAGAGGGATAGTACCAAAACAGCAGCAATTTTACCAGGTCTTGGATTTCTTGGATCACAGGCCATATCATCAGCCAGCATAAGTATTATATTACTAAATAAATAAATAGATAAATAAATAAATTGGAAATAATTCTACCTGTCTGGTATGCCAAGTCTTTTAACGCTATGATAAATGGAGAGAACGTTTGACTCATGTCTGTAATTAAACCAATATCGAGACGACCCTACCTACAAATAAAAAATAATTTTAGTATTCAAATTTAAAGTATCATACAAGGACGGCCCAGTTGTTAGTGTGACTGCTAATTGAGAGAACTAAGGAGTTTCTAGCGAGGAAAAACAAGAGACAGATATACCACAAATTCGCCATTTTTTCTGTAATAACTATTAATAACTCGAACCAGTTATTAATCAGTTTATAACCAGCCACGCCCTATTCATCTTGCCATTATTTGCTGTCTCGACTACAACTCAACAAAAAACAGTTTTTTTTTTGCAAGGAATGTCTGGATCATCTTCTGACGAGCTCTTTTCCAGCCGCTCCAAGGTAGTACTCAACTGTGGTAACATTGCCAGCTGGAGCAAAATAAAAAAGAAAGCTCTACTGACCTCCACTGGAGAAGTATGGAAGATCATTAATTTAATCAGGGTTACTGTCATTAATTTCAATTATATTAACACAGCTGGTGTCTGCTATCGAGAACACACTGATCAGCTATTCTGGGTCTCAAAAACCAAACCCACTACCTGATGAAGTATTATCATTTTTAAAATGAGGTTTTATTATTTTTCTCATTTTTAAGTTGGCTGTAGTAAGAAGTGCTGGCCTTGCTCAGACGATTCCACCAGACGAGAGGGAGAACCTCACAATCACACGTAAGCCTCGTACCACCTGATAGTCACATGACTTATCCTTTTAGTAAAAGTATTTCCAAGTGCATGGGACCCTAATGAAATAACCCAAGCCGTTGATACAAGTATAATTATGCAGCAATTGATGATAGTTTTATAGTATGTGGTTTTTAAACAGGTTTGGTGGAGTTAGGTATTAATGCTGTCGACACGCTGATATTAGCACCGCCATCTTGCCAAGGACAGGATAAAACAATGGAGAATATACAAAAGCTATGGAAAGTTAGATTTCTTTTCTCTTCTTTTGACCTTTAACAGTTCACATTATCTTACTATTGTCCTTCATGAAAATTGGCAAGGCATTATGTATCCTTTTTAACATGGAGTCATTTTAACATGGAGATGTTTTATTATCAAAATTCTGTTTTATTATCAAAATTTTGGTGTTTTTAGGGAGTTGAAGAGTCCGCAATGCAAAAGAAAATGTCGGTAGTAGGTGTAGCAGATCTTGATAAAAAGGAATTAGAAGAACTATTCAATTGGGCCAAAGTACGACCAATCACTTGACAGTCATGTGACATCCTTTTCGCAGGTAAAGCCAAGGATTAATCAAGTGAATTTGGCTCATTGTTGCACCATACCCGAGGTACAAAAAAAAACTTTTATTATATTTTAAAATCCTTTGTTAGGATTTGGCTCAATATTGCAAGGAAGTTGACATTAAACTCTTTACTCATAATGATGACAGATGTCTCCTACCACCTGAGAGCTTACAAGAAACCATGCGAAATACCCTCAAAGTGGGCGAAAATTGGAGCTGTGGTTGGGTATCGCGTTATAATTCCATCATCAATCTACGCGGGATCGTCAGTCATAAGGGGTAGGCGTGGTCATTTTACAATATTACTTTGATGTTCTCTCAATTAGGTATCTCGTAGAACTAAATAAAGTATCGCAATAAATATTTTTTTGTTATTTTTACGTTATCATCATTGTTCATCTCTACTCTTTATTAAGTTTTTGTTTGTTGTTGTGATTGTTTTTTTTGCTCTTCTAATGATACATGATCTTCCTCTGAGACGGAAAAGAATCGCTTCTTTGACTCTTCAGTGAACTCTCTTATCTAAGGAGAGAGAGAGAGAGAGAAGGAGGAGTCTGGAATAACAGTTCACACACAGCATACCGTGTAATTTTAAAACAACAAAATTTTGATGAATTGCTAGTTTTATATTGACTATTGAGAGCAAGTGGTTTTTTTTATTCATAGCTATAAGCATGGTGCAAAGTGGCAAGTTTATATTTTTTTGCAAATGGGTCAAATTTTAGCCACTCAAAAAAAATCATTTATATAGCTGCACAATGTTATTAAAATGTAAAATATAATGTGTAGCATACCCATGAGAAGCAGTTTCTCTTTTCTCCCCAGTTATGTTTAAAAACACAGTAATACATCAATCCTTTACAAGATAAAGTTGCATATAAAATTATAATAATTATAAATAGATGTTTTTCACCTGCTGAGACTATAAACGTGAAATATGTGAATGCTCTCTGACTTTTACTAAACATCAGTGGCTTCAACAATTCAGGATCCTTGACTTCTAATTTTCCCTTTGGATCAAACGCCATTTTGAATAATTAAAATGGCGCCACGCCCACCAAATATTTTAATTAGCCACACCCTCTAGTTCAGCCACGCCCACCTTGTCTGCAGAGCTCAAGGGAGAAATGGGAAATGAAGGAGGAAAGCTTTTGGACACTACAACTCCCGAGGGAGTCCAGGCAATGGACGAGAACCTACAGAGGAAGTTTTCCAAAGGAATACAGTACAACAGTGAGGGGAAACACGGGATAAAAATGATTTTAAAAGTCTATTTTGTTAATTTTTCTCAGTGAAAGTTTTGATCCGTGGTGATCGTAATACGGGGAAGTCTTGTCTATTTAGACGGATGCAGGGAAAACCGTTCACCGAGTCGTACATACCGACCAATGAGATTCAAGTTGGGCACATACAGTGGACATATCCATGTGGGTGTGGTTTAATAGTAATGGGCGTGGCCTCATTCTGTGCTGTTTTTATAGGTACAAACGACATGGTAAAGGTTGAAATATGGGATGTCGTTGATCAAGGTGAGAAAGAAACAACAAAAATATTTTATTAAAAAATTTATAGGTCGATCTACAAAAAAAGGAAAAGACGTCCCATTAAAATTAAGCAACGAAGCTGATGCATCTCAGGTGCCATTGATAGTATATTCCAGTATATTCTAGTATATTTTAGGACATGGCACTTGATGCTAGTTTTCTTGACGTCTATAAAGGAGCTCACTGCGTCGTTCTAATGTATGACATCACTAAACAATGGTGAGTCATGTGATATCACGTTACATCATATGACATCATATTACATCATTGTTTAGGACCTGGCAATACATTGAGAGAGAATTACAACACATTCCGCTACATTTGCCGATTGTCGTTATCGTACGTTTTCTGTGATTATTGACGTCATTTTGTGGGTGTGGCCTGTTTCTAGGGTAACTATTTAGATATGAGAGAGCATCGATCAGTTTCAATGGAGGATGCCGAATTCTACGTTACTCATTTAAACAGGTAGAGAGAGAGAAAGAAAGAAAAAGGTATGTATTTATTTTCTTTTTATTTCCTCAGGCCGGAGGGTGCTGCTGATATAAGATATGCCGAGAGTTGCATGAAGAATGGCTATGGTCTTAGATATTTACACAAATTTCTAAGCATCCCTTTTCTTCAACTGCAAGTAAGTTGTAATTATTAACATCAGCACAACTGTTTTTTAGTTTACACGTACATATTAATAACAAGTCTTGATTTATTTATTAATTATCATCGCTTCTCTCTCTGCTAGCAAGAGACATTGCTCCATCAATTAAAGACAAACCGAGAACAGATAATGGTATGTAACCGTACAGATATTATTAATTGAGCCACACCCACTTTGATAATTAGCTTGTGAGTGAAGGACTTGATTCTAAAGAAGACCAGGATTACGACAAGTAAATTAAGGCTCCAATTTTAAAGCTATTGAGATATTTTTTATTTTAATAGATTTTTATCAGATAGAGCGAACCCCAAGGCTCCAAAGAATCGACCTGTTCCTGAGGCCCCACCCACTAACACACCTCCAGGCCATACTCCCGAACTACCCGTCAAGTCAACAGAGAAAGAGATGGTGAAAGAACCTCCACCTCCGAAAATACCAACCGAGGAGAGTACTGATGGTGGATCAATAGCTAAGAAACTATCGTCGAGATTTACTGGGTTTTTATCAAAATCTAAAACAAAAGAACCAACCAATGCACCTTCGCCTAGTAAGATAATGCATTTATTATTATTATATTTATTATTGTTGCTATTTTTAGAATCTCCTCCTGGCCGACCTCGTCAGAAATCCCTCGGCAACGTTGATGATTTTGTCCCCGAGGGAGAACTAGACGACCAGTTCTTTGAAGGAGGCGAAGGAGGAGGAGGAGGAGAAGCAGCTGATGATGACAGCGACTCAGATGAAGAGAGAGTCAATCCACAAGTTGCAATGGACGAAGACTTATCATCGCTTGAAGAAGAAGAAGAGGAGCCTGAACCTCCTCCTCCTCCTTCTAAACCCACAAAGAAGACAACCCCAGTCCAGCCAGCAAGAGGTATACCGGCTACTAAGAGAATCGAAGAGAGTGAGAGTGAGAGTGATGAAGATGGAGTCCAGCGACCGGTTGTTGCACTTGACGAGGATTTATCAAGCCCCGAGGAAGAGGAAGAAAAAGCTAATCATTCTACAGGGATGCTTCAACCAACTCGAGCTCCTGTTGCTGTCAAGGCTACCCCACCTGCTCCTGTCAAGGCTACCCCACCTGCTCCTCGCCCACTCAAATCAGCTCATGAGATTGCACTGACAGAGAGCGAGGAAGAGGAAGAGGAGAGACCTGTCGTCATGATGAAAGACGAAGACATTCCGGAGCCCGTCTCCAAAGTTAAATCCGGTGGATTATTAATGACACACCAAACACAGAAACCAAAATCAAGTGGTGGACTGTTGCTAGGTCATAACGATAGCTCTAGCCCTTCTGCTCCGGCTAAAGAGAAGAAGAAATCGCGAAAGTCGTCGTCTTCGGAGAAATCTCACAAGAAGAAGCGGCAGAAGTCCAGAGATGGAGGGGAGGAAGGTGATAAAGCAGCTGGTAGTCCAGTCACACCTGCACCTAGTGACCCGTTTGATTTTAATTCACTGGACGCTTGGCTTGGAGGAGATGATGTAAGTTTGTTTTTAGATTGATATCTTTTTAAAATGATTCCTTTACATTGATCTCCTTATGCTGTGTAGAAAGTTTGAGCTGATTCCGACTTAAATTTTTCAAGTTACGGCCATTTTAAGAAATAGGCCAAAATCTGAAAAGTACCCAAGGCTATAGCCCATGGTTTTTTCAAAAAATGGCTAAAAATTGACCCCCAATTTTTATTAAATTTTCTGATACATATTGATGTCCTAATGCTGTGTAGAAAGTTTGAGCTGATTCCGACTTAAATTTTTTAAGTTACGGCCATTTTAAGAAATAGGCCAAAATCTGAAAAGTACCCAAGGCTATAATAGCCCATGGTTTTTTCCAAAAAATGGCTAAAAATTGACCCCCAATTTTTATTAAATTTTCTGATACATATTGATGTACTTATGCTGTGTAGAAAGTTTGAGCTGATTCTGACTTAAATTTTTCAAGTTACGGCCATTTTAAGAAATAGGCCAAAATCTGAAAAGTACCCAAGGCTATAGCCCATGGTTTTTTCCAAAAAATGGCTAAAAATTGACCCCCAATTTTTATTAAATTTTCTGATACATATTGATGTCCTAATGCTGTGTAGAAAGTTTGAGCTGATTCCGACTTAAATTTTTCAAGTTATGACCATTTTAAGAAATTTACCAAAATAATACCCAAGGCTATAGCCCATGCTTTTTTCCAAAAAATGGTTAAAAAATGACTCACAATTTTTATTACATTTTCTGATACATATTGATGTACTTATGCTGTGTAGAAAGTTTCAGCTGATTCCGACTTAAATTTTTCAAGTTATGACCATTTTAAGAAATTTACCAAAATCTGAAAAATACCCAGTATACTTTTCAGATTTCTAAAGTTTTGAGCATTTTTTATGCTTGTCAGCACAAACTTTGATTAGACATTTTTTACATATTTTAGTCACCATCAGTACAACCAAGATCAACTCACGGGCTTTCAAGGTACAAAATAAATAATTGTTATTAATAATTAGTAGCGATATTTATTTATTTTTGCAGAGCTCTTCATAAATCAATTGAAGAAAATGATGAGGTCAGTCAGTCTAATCTTCTATTTTTAATTAATTAATTTATTTATTTAATTGTTAGGAGGAGGAAGAGGAGCCAAGAGAGAAGAAGAAAAAGAAAAAGAAATCAGACAGAGATGTCGGAGGAGACGGAAGCATAAAGAAGAAAAAGAGGAGTAAATCTAAAAAATCAGAGACTACCAATATCGAGGATTTGTTTTGAATTTGCTGCTAGTATTGTGTACTTTAATTTTATGTGCTTTTAGTAATGAATTGATGTAACAGCTTGTACCTACAAGTGCCTCTTTATAATAATGAGAAGTTAATTTTAAGAACCACTTTAAAGGCTAACCGTGTAGTTCTTGAAATCATGATCTAGCCAGGTGTTACACAAACAGGCGTCAAATTACACAATAGGTATGCCGCTAATTAAAACATAACAACATACTCTTATTCGCTCCAAAGGTAATGTTTGCTGTATTAAGTTTATAATTAAATTACACGAGGAGGAGTGACCATCCCAGCATAGTATCTATGATCCCAGGGCCGGCCTAGTCAGGATAAATCGGGATAAATAGACTGTATTATCTATGATTATCAGTTGTATATAACTAATAATTGTCAAGCTGGTAACTTTTTCTTTTAAAAGAAAAATGGCTAGCTTCAACTCAAGCATTTTGACTTGTCTTGAAGAGTATGAACAGAGTGCTCACTCAAAAGTAAAAGAATCTGCTTGGAACTATTACTCTGAAGGATCTTGCCTGGGACAAACAAAAAAGGAAAACATAGAAGCATTTAAAAAGTAAAACATTATTTGTTTTAATCCTATTTGTGATTTTTCAACTCACCCCAAGGTATTATATACTTCCAAGAGCATTCAGAGCATGCAAGGAATCTGAAGTTGACTTGTCTGTCAATATTTTAGGAAGCAAGATGGCTCTACCAATAGGAGTTGCCCCTACAGGAAGGCATGCTCTAGCTCATCCTCAAGGAGAAGAGGCAACTGTAAAAGGTTTGTTGCTTAAATTGCATGCCATCATTAACATGCAACACAAGATGCTGCTGCCAATGAATGTTGTTGGCATGACCAAGGTTCATGCAATTATTGATTTATGTAAACTATTTTCTTTTTTGGTATTATCAGGTTGCACAAGAGCTGGTGTATGCATGATACAAAGTGTTTTTTCAAACAAAAGCATGGAAGAAGTCACGGAATCTTGCAAGGGCCAAGGGCTAAGATGGATGCAGTTGCAACCACTTTTGAGTGAAAGCTGTGTCGTGGAAGACATCATAAAACGAGCTGAATCTCTGGGTTACAGTGGGATAGTGATTACATGCGATCAACCAAATTTTCCTATTAGTTATGCAGCAATGAAAGAATCAAAAATCAAAAATTATGCTATAAAAAACCCCGAGGTCTTTGGAAACTTCTCCAAAGAAATTAATGATAAGATTTTTTCTCCAGAGTCAAATCCCTACAGTGAGGTAAAAGAGAAAATGTTTGAGCCAATTTCTTGGGACTGGGTTGATTGGGTGCGTAGTATTACAACACTGCCTATAATCATCAAAGGTATTCTGAATCCACATGATGCTGAAGAAGCTCTGAAACATGACATCCAAGCAATATATGTGTCCAATCATGGAGGCAGAGTACTTGACTCTGTGCCACCAACTGTAAGTCTAGATGCACATAAATCAATTTAAACTGATCCTTAAATGTTCTAATCACTAGTTATATGCCTTGCCTGAGATTATTAAAGCAGTCAATGGAAAGGTTGAGGTTTATGTTGATGGTGGAATACGTCATGGTACTGATGTATTGAAGGCACTAGCACTTGGAGCTAGGGCAGTGTTTGTGGGAAAACCAATAATATGGGGACTTGCATGCAATGTAAGATAAAAATTATATTCTATAACTAAAATATTGTCGCATACTTTGTTCATTTAAGCCCAACATACACTACAGAACATGTTGCTAGTAACATTTGGGGTTGCATTTATTATTGCAGGCAAAATGTTGCAAAATCATGCAGAAAAGATTTCAGTCTATTCTTAGATACAAAATCAAAGTAACCACACAGATGTTGTTAGTAATATCAAGTAATATTGGTAGCAAGAGTAGATCTACTCTTGTTGATAGTAACATAAAAAAGTAATAAATGAATACTTACATGTAAATGAATGTTTTTAGGGTGAAGATGGAGTCTTTGATGTATTGCAAATGCTAGGAGATGAACTTCGTGCAGTGATGGCGTCTACTGGCTGCAAAAGAGCATCTGAAGTTACCCCAGATATCATACGACTTGCTTCCAACTATTATTCATAATTTCAATATTAAATTTTATGCACTACTTTGTTAAGATACAGTTTATTTCCAATCCTTATTGTGTACTGTATCTGTGGTTACATGTGGTAGTGTATTGACACCTACTATACTTTGTTTTATGATAATAATTATTAGTTAAATGAAAAAATCAATTTTAACGAAATTGATGAAGATTGAAGACACAAATGTAGAAATTATTAAAGTTCAGTCAGTAATTGATGCTCCATTCCTTATGCTGTCCTCATGATAATGTGTATTCCTGAATCAGAGAATACCGGCTCACTTAGTTCACCTATCTTCAGAGCATAACTAAAAGATAGAATAAATAAATATAGAAAAATCGAAGGGAAAGGAAGAATAATATAATACTACATTAAAATCTTACGTTGCTTCTTCAAATGGTTCTACAATGGAATGAGCTCATTAGTCAAGTGATGATGGCATGATTTGCTTACTTTGCATCTGTCCTCGTCCAAAAGGACCCAAATCTCCGCCTCTTTTAGCGCTACCACAATCGCTCTCTTTCGAGGCCAGCTCAGCAAAACCAACTTGACCACTGTCAATCTGCTCCCTAAAACCTAATTAATTAATAATAATGAATAATAATTAGAGTTTAATTATCACCTTTGAGCATGGCCAAAGCTTCTTCCTTGCTCCTTGTAATATTTTCTGTTTTCCATGAGGAAGGACGACGGGACTCTCTATGTTTCACTAAAAGATGAGAGGCCTGAACCTAAGAAAATAAAATGAAAAGATAGAAACATTGATTTTTGCACAAAGATTATTTTAATAATGACAATAGTTTGATTTCTACCTCTCCAGGGCCGACAGAAGCAGGTGGCTCCCATTGACTTGCTTTGGTGAATAAATTGAAATAGAATGCTTTTCCGGAGGAACGAGATTCGCGCTTTTCCCATCCTTCTGGAAGAGACGCCATCTTAAATCTGGGCGGGGCTAAAATTTGAAAGGCGTGGTTTATTGTCCCGTAAATCTCCGTATACTAAATCCGTGTGTACATTTAAAATGGCGCCAATGCTTTGATGAGGATTCTCTCTCCAGCTTTTGCTAGACTTTTGTGAACTGTTGTTCCCTTAATGCAATGAGTGGAGGCGGGGGATATACTTTAGGAGGAGGAGGAGGGAGAGTGAAAGAGCCCACTGTTACTTTTAGGAGGCCATTAAGGATTCACTCAGAAACAGAGAATCTCATCGGTCAGTTTATCTCTCTTATTTTAATATTTATTATCAGCTTTCATGATCATAGAGTTATCGAAGGCGTGGTCTTCAAGAGGCGATACTGAATCCACTGTACGTTAATATATAAATTACAGTTGTAGTATTTTTAGTAATGTAATAATATATTTAATTTATTGTGTCTTCTTCTCTTCTGCTCCTTTAGTCAGTGAATCCATCTCTTACCTCTCATTTCAATATCGGGTCACATGACGCCAGGGAAAGATCACATGACATCCGCACGAGGTCACATGATAGTAAAAGGGCACACGAGACTGGGTGGACGTCAAGGGATAGCTCCAGTCGCTACCTCCGACCAGGGACCTCATATCAGTCTATCAACGAGAGAGAGGGAGGGAGGGGAGCAGCACGACCTCCTTTGTCTAGCAGGACAAGGGATTTACTCAGTTCTCCTTATTTGGGATCAGTCGGTTCCTCTCACAATCGCTCATCCTCTCCATCAAAGCATAATCCATCATCTCTTTTTGGAGCCGCTGCCGATTTTAGAGATCACAAACCACGCCCACAGCCGCACTTGGTAGCAACCGGTAGACCAGTTGATGTACCAGTGGTTAATGGGGTACCAGTTACCATGACGAGGAAAGTCGTGAGAGAGGGAGGAGAAGGAGGTAGGGTCAAGGAGAAGAGGAGGTTGACTTACAGAGAGGAAGGGACCATACCTTTATCAAACTGTAAGAGTAAGCATGAAATCATTGGGTGCTATTATTAGATACTTAAAATGACCGTAACTTGAAAAAATTAAGTCGGAATCAGCTCAAACTTTCTACATAGCATAAGGATGTCAATATGTATCAGAAAATGTAATAAAAATTGGGGGTCATTTTTTGGCCATTTTTCAGAAAAAACCATGGGCTATAGCCTTGGGTATTTTTCAGATTTTGGCATATTTCTTAAAATGGCCGTAACTTGAAAAATTTAAGTCGGAATTGGCTCAAACTTTCTACATAGCATAAGAACATCATTATGTATCAGAAAATGTAATGAAAATTGGGGGTCATTTTTTGGCCATTTTTCTGAAAAAAGCATGGACTATACTACAGGGTATTTTTCATATTTTAGCATATTTTTATTAAAATTCTTTTGCTCATTAGCTCAAGTCAGTTCTTTGCTGGAAAAGATAGAGAGACAGAAAAGAGACCGAGAGACTCTAGAGAAGAAACTATCGTCACATTCGGACCTGACCTCTTCAAGCCATGTCCCTTTAAGCCACTCCCATTATGTGATAGAAACCGCCAAAAGACGAAAGATAGCGACAGCTCCACCTCCTAAAGGCTACACCGGCTTCACGTCGGCATCATCGCAACCTTTGACCTTTAAACCAAAGACGCACCCTCTTTTACAAACCGCTCCCACTTCTACACACCCACCTGTTGAGCCACCGGCCAATAAAACGACATGGGCGGTACCTCGTCAATCTCCTGTCATCACACCTTCATCGTGGAGGTCGGGACAAGAACTGGTTAAGAAAATGTTGGAGAGAGAAGTAGAGAAAGACGAAGGAGAAGAAAGGAGAACCAGACCTAGTTACGGGAGCAATGCTCAGGAAATATTGAGAGACATGGAGACAACGTCAGAGGAAGAGGAAGAGGAGGAGAGGCCAGTTATGAAAACAAAACCTGTCAATCCTGTTAAACAAGTTTTGAAACTATCAGGTACCCACAATTTTACAATGGTCCAACTATATTATTATTATTATTATTATTATTATTATTATTATTATTATTGTTGTTGTTATTGTTGTTGTTGTTATTCCATAGAGTCGGTTCCAGTCACTACTCCACCTTCACAGTCACACAGACAGTACAACAGGGAATCAGTCCAGAAGTACATGTTGTCAAAACAAGAGGAAAGGAAGAGGAAACTGGAGGAGGACAGAGCAGCAAGAGCAGCAGCTGAGGCTGACAGGAAGAGAAGATTACAGGTACAGCTCTGTTACTAAAAATAGAACTTGTTACTAAAAATAGAAACGTCAGTAAAATTCTATTACAATCAAGCGTGAATCAACTAAGCTATTGCTGTTATTATTATTATTATTATTATTTATTTTTTTATTTTTTGTTTTTTTGTGAAGGAGTTAAGAGAGAGGCAGCAGAATATATTAATTAATAATTTGCAAGCTCAGCAGAAAAGGAGAGAAACGGCAGCTGACGAAGGAACGTCAACGATACACATTCACTTTGAAAATAAAGTAATTTTTTAAATTTTAAATTAAATAATTTTAAATTAAAATACTTCTTCCTCTTTAGGATTTTCATCATGTTTCTAGTTCTTCTTCTCACCCACCGTCACTTTTCACACCTTCACGAACTCCCCAAACCACACCTTTATCATCCTCCCACCCTCACATGTCCCACGTCACTCCCTCCAGATTAAGCACTACTACGACTCCGCCCATTTTCACTAGCATTGCCACACCTACATTTGCCACACCTACTGCCACTATTGCCCTGCCCACTCAAAGCTCTGCTGACTCGTCGTTTATATTTTCAACTCCAGTTGTGGTAATGGCCCCACCCACTATAGCTCCACCCACTTGCACTCCGGGTGTGTCTGCCTCTCCTCGTACCAGTTTGAGTTTCTCGTCTCCTTATATGGTAACGAGGGGAACAACCTTACCCACGTCTTCTCTCAGTTCCTCTCGCTTCCCTCCTCCCCCTCCTCCTCCTCCTAGCGATAGAGAGGCCAAGTTATTGGAGCTACAAAGCTCCGCCCTCTCGTTAAAACAAAGGATCGAGAACGAAAAGAGAAAATTAGAAATCATGACATCGTCACCAAAACCTGTCAAGACTGCCACGCCCATCCCTCCGCCCACTCGAATAATTAAGAGCCAATTTTACGAGGCAAGCACGCAAACTTTACGAACATTGTCCACAGCCCCTCCTCCTTCTGCTACGCCGATTTCAGTTTCATCACCACGCCCACTTTTAACAGCTAGACCTGGCATTACCGTGACAACTGCTTCGGCTCCGGTTAGGTTACCATGGCAACAAAAGGGTGGGGACCGGTTTAGTGTTATCAATATATACACAGAGAGACAAGAGAAGAGTGATGTCACTGATGGGGGGAGTGAACAAGAAGAAGAGAATAATGGAGGACAAGTAGAGGAAGAGAGAGAGAGTGAGGAGGAGGAGAGAAAGGAAGAGACAGAGTCTGAGACAGAAGAAGAAGAGGAAGAGGTTAAACAGAAAGATACAGACAGTAAAGATGAACATGTTAGAGATGAAGACATTAGTTGGACTGCAGTATCACCGGTTCCTTCTAGCCCCTCCCCTCCTCCTCCTCCTCCTCTTGGTGGAGGCGTGTCAGTTATCACACCTCCTGGGTCTCCTAGCTTTACTGAATCATTCGTAACTCCGCCCACCACCACCAGGATACTACCAATACATGTGATGGAAACAAAACAAGTAAACATACATGTACATGATAATAATAATAATAATAATAATAATAATAATAATATTTTCTCTCTCCAGTCCCCCAGATACTCCCCTCATTCTCTTGGTCTTCAATTGAAAGCCGAACTAAACATACTTGAAGCTGTTGAGGAGGGAGTCCGTCACGTTGAGGGGGTGGAGTCAGCAAGAGCAGTAGCTGAGGCTCAGCAGGAAACTGTAGCATTGGCACAACTATTCCAGACACAGTCACAGACTCAGGAAATGAAAATAAAAGAAATTAATAATAAAAATAAAGAGAGATTAAGAGAAACAGAGATGAAACTGGACAAGGTAATATTAACAAGAAATTATTATTGTGTTTTTTGTTGTTGTTTATGCATGTTGTTGTTGTTGTTTGTTGTTTACAGGAGAGAGAGGAGAGGGTGTCAGTTAGTGATCAGTTATTGAAACTGAAAGAGAAGACTCAGGAACAAGCAGCAACCAATGAATTAAGATCAAGACAAGTAAGACTGGTCCCTCAAATTTATTTCAAGTTTCTATAAATTTAACAGTGATTATTATTATTATTATTATTATTATTATTATTATTATTATATTAAATAGCTCTTTTTATCTTTTAGTTGGAGGAGGAGAGAGCACAGTCTCATTCATTAGCTCAGCAGCAGCAGCTCATAAACACTCAGTCAGAGTTAACCTCAGCCGTACTCCAGAGCACACAGGCTCTGGTGGAGAGTGTAGCTAAGGCAGCAGCTGAATCAGCAGTTAGGACAGCTATGGAGGAGAGGAGAGAGAAGGAGAGAGAGGAGGAGGAGGAGGATGGTAGCAGTAGCTATGACACTGATTTTGAGCCACAATCATTTGAAACAGATAGGTACATGTACATGTATATAGTAAAGCTTATTGTGGAATTTAGCTTAAATTTGTTAGTATTTTGTTGTTTTTATTGCTCCAAATTTGTTGTAAAGTAATAGCTAAATACACTGTACATGTGTTCATTTTTTATTTCTCTTTTTTAGTCTTAATACTCCGCTAATGACATCGCCAATGTCACTCCCGCCCACCTCTATCACCATCACCACCGCATCTCACACTCCATCGATCCCGCCGGTCTCCCACGTTCCCTCTCACCCTCGTCCACTGTCCACGGTCATCGACCTACCCCCGGTATCATCCAGTGACTCCGTTTCGACTTTATTGTCCCCGCGTCTCTCCGGGGGCAGTAAGAGTTCTCGTACTAGTGGTACCCTAACGCCAGACGAGACTCAAAACCTTAATAATAACGGAGCCATACTGACCTCCCACGAGGAGGAGATAGAGGAAGAGATTGAGGAAGGTACTAGTGTCACTGACGAGGAAGAGGAGGAGTCTGGAGGGGGCGGAGAAAAGGGTGGGGCCAATGATGATATTGATGACGTGTCGTTTCGTGAGTTGTTGCCGTCTGAGGCCCATAGGAGACAGCAGAGGAAGAGACTCAACTCAACTAGCTCTGATCTATCTGATGTACTACCTATTACCATACAGGCAAGGGAATTAACCAGTAATAGTAACACATTGGATCTAGAGGGAGTTTAGGAGACTTTTGTCTACCACTAGGTCTCCTGAAATCTCTTATTTCTTAGCTTTTGGCCTTTTATGTTTAGCCTACTGTAGTGTCCTTAAATCTCCCAAGATTTATTTTGTAGATACACTATTCTTATTATTATTATTATTCTTATTATTATTATTATTATTATTATTATTACTGATAGAGTGGTGAGGGTTCTCCGCTATCAGTTGGCGAGGAGTCCTTCAATTCATTTGTCAACAGGATGGTCAGTCAGTACGTGAAGGAGGAGGAGATGAGAGCAAAGCATCAGTCAGCACTACTCAAACTGAGGGAGAGAGCAGTCAAAGAGAAGAGCCAAGCACAACTCAAGTGGCTCAACGTTAAGAAAAAGTTAGTACATTTATATGTACATGTACATGTACATATACATGTACATGTATATGTACATATAACATGTAACATGTGACATGTATACTTTATGAAGGAAGCTTTCATGCATGTACAGTGTACAGTTTACAGTCTAGTTCACATGTGTGCATTCATGATCATTATATATTTTTGCATAAAATGACCGTAACTTGAAAAATTTAAGTCGGAATCAGCTCAAACTTTCTACACAGCATAAGGGCATCAATATGTATCAGAAAATGTAATAAAAATTGGGGGTCATTTTTTGGCCATTTTTCGGAAAAAAGCATGGGCTATAGCCTTGGGTATTTTTCAGATTTTGGCCTAATTCTTAAAATGGCCGTAACTTGAAAAATTTAAGTCAGAATCATCTCAAAATTTTGCTGTACATGGGCATAGTGCTACATGTATATTACATTTATCTACTTATTTAATTTATTTAATTTTATTTTATTTTAGAAGTTTGATTAATAAGAAAGACGACGAGTCCATGCCTCTATTGATACGCAAAGAAGACGGAGTGAGAAAGAAACTAAAACAAGAACAAGTAAACAACAACAAACAACAACAAAACAACAACAACAACAGCAACAAAACAACAAACAACAGCATCAATAAAAACAATTCTCTCTCCACCTTAGGCTGAGATAAAACGATTACAAGAAGCTCACAAAAGAGCTAGTCAGGACCGTAAGCTCCTCCTACTACAGCAACAGGACATTGCCCGACTCCAGCGCTCAACCAAACAATACGTTGAGAAGATAAGGAGATATGGAGGAGGAGGTACAGGAACCAGCCCATTGCACCTTGAGTACTCTTTATCACCATCACCCTCTCCTCTTCACTCACCTGATGTCTTACACTCTGAGGTACATGTACATGTACATCTATACAATTAAATTAAACAATGTACATGTACATCTATACATACCTGTTAAACAATTCAATCATAGAAGAGTTTTGCAACTGAAATACTTAATGTTTAAAATCATTAATAATCATGCATTAATTGTGCTTTTTATTGCATAAATTGCCAAATTAAAAATGCATGTACCTAATAGTGAAATTACTATATTAAACATTAAATTGAATGCTACTGTACATGTACATACATCTACTGTATTTATTATACTATTATTATTATTATTATTATTATTATTATTATTATTATTATTATTATTATTATTATTATTATTATTATTATTATTATTATTTCCATATTAGGAAGTTTCTGAGTCAACTTCTCTAAGTGGTTCTCCTGTCAAGTCTGCCAGTGTATTAGAAGAACTTGAATTATCATCACAATCATCAGCCGATACCTCAATTAGAGGAGGCGGGGCAGTAGGTGGAGTGCTGGGTATGCCTTCAAGTCAAACGAGTGATAACTACAAACTAATGAAACTTAAGGAATCCTCAGAAGAAAAAGAAAAGTATTTAGTACTTTAGTAATTTATTCTGTAAAAAATTATTCATTTTACATACACTGTATATAATTATTATGTATTTTTATCTTTTATAGGGAGTTGTTAAAATATGAAGAGAAGTTGATCAAAAGACGTCAGACAGCAGAGGAGCTCCTGTTGTACAAACAAGAGCTGGAGAGAAGAGAGAAACAGCTAAGAGAGGAAGAAGGGAACATTAACAGGATAATAGAGAGGGCGATAATAAGCCAGGAAGATAAGCAGAGCAGTAATACTGGGAGTAGGTCATCAACCGTCAGAGAGAGAAGAGGAGAACCCAGTTCAGTATCGGAGGATATATCAGTTTATAACACTGATACTTTTGAAACTGAGACAGCAGCTGCTTCTACTCACTTAACATCAACACCACAACAGCAGCAACTGGGATCAGTGGGAGACTGTGAGTATTAGACTATCTGGTATTTGTGTAATTTTTAAACATTTTATTTATTAATTTTTATTTTTTGGCAGGTTATATTTGCACATTTTTTATACATTATTATTTTGAAACATCGTATTTATTCATTAATTATTATTAAATATCTTATTTTATCTTATTGATTTATTTTTTTGTTTATTCTTTGCAGTGTCTCTGGGTAGTCCCAGTGATGAGGAAGATAAGAGATTGATGGAGCTACAGGCAATCCTCATGGAGAAGGAGAAAGAATTGAAGAAGAGGAAGAAGGAGGCACTGAGAGCTAAGAGAGATCAAAAGGAGAAAGCAATTAAAGCAAGACTGATTGTAAGAAAACAATAAAAGTTAATTTATTATTAATAATAATGGTTAATTATTTTTAGGAGATTGAGAAGGAGCTCCAAGAACACAGTGAGGAGGAGTTAGTCAACACTGTCCCTTCCATTCAGATCACTTCACATGAGACGCTCGTCAAACCAGTACAGAAACAGGTTGTACCGGTTAGCGAGCCAGTTATACCAGTTCGAGAACAGGTTCTACCAGTGAGAAAGGAAGAGGCTACAAAGTCACTGGATACCAAGTCTCCATTAAGCAGCAGCAGCAGCAGCAGTAGCAGCAGTAGTTCAGTATCTACTGTGATATCTAATGAAGGAGAGATAGAGGAAGAGATCACAAGCTCTTTAATATCTAACAATGCTCCTTCACAGCAAACTGAATCTCAAGCAATAGCTACATCAGCCCCTCCCACTGTTTTTCCAGCCCCTCCCACTGTTTCTGTAGCTCCTCCCACTATTTCTTATGCCCCTCCTACTATTTCTTCTGTCCCTCCCATTACATCATCAGCCCCTCCCACTATTTCCATAGCCCCTCCAACTATTCCTCCAGCAGTTAGTACTACATTAGTACTAACGTCCTCTTCTGCTCCAATATTAGCAGCCACACCCACTACAGCTCCAGTATCGGTAGCCACACCCACTTCAGCTTCAATATTAGTAGCCACACCCACTACAGCTCCAGTAACTCCACCCATTTCTACACCAGCAGTCACTATATCAGAAGAGCCTATTCCCAACCCCCTAACATCAACTGCAATAGCCTCTACTATATCAGTTACACCAACCATCCTATCGCATAAAGAACTCATCACTTCCACTGCAGCAGTTGGAGGTAAGGACACTATTGACGATGCTCTTACTGTCACAGCGTCCCCACGTCCCTCTCCTTCTCCTCTCTCCCTCACTCCTGATATATCAGAGGACACAGGCTCTAACCTCTCACTATCACAGCGTGTACTAGTAGCTAATAGTGTCCAGGGAGTCATTGAGTACATTGGTACTACTGATTTTGCAAGTGGTATATGGATCGGTGTCAAACTTGACGAGCCAAGAGGAAAGAATGACGGATCGGTGAATGGAAAGAGATACTTCTCTTGTCCTCAGAAGCATGGAGTCTTTGCTCCTCCTTCTAAAATATTCCCAATAGAAGAGGAGAGCTCTGGGAAAGATACCAGCAGCAGCATATCTGAGGAATTCAGCTCAGAGAAGGATGAGAGAGAGTCGCTGAGTGCAATATCTCCTGAACCACTAATAGATAATGTTAATACTTCACTGCAGAAGGAGCAAACTGCTAGTGGAGGAGCTGAAGTGACTGGTGCTTCACCTCTTGATGATGATAATGATAGTTATACTGCAATATCAGAGAACGAAGAAACACAATTAGATGATACTCTAGTACAAGAAGAAGAGGAAGGAGAAGATGATCAAGTAATTAAAGATGGAGAGTTTGAGAGTGTAGCTGATATATGGAGCAAGAAGAAAGGGCCTGATACAGAAGCCTCTATTGATAAAGTTACTGATCAGTTGCTGTCAGCTTTAGTTCAATCAGAGGTTGACCTGATTTGTAATATAAGAGACACTAGAGAAGCATTGAACCAAGAAGATGAGGATGAGGAGGAGGAGAGAGGTGAAGCTGTTAAA